AGAGCTACTTTTTTTTTTTTTTTTAACTTTAAGTCCTAGATTATCGTGATGGAAAAGGTTGAGTAGATGTACAAAACCTTTATCTGTACCTTTGTGCCTGTTGGCAGTCATTTACTTAATGTGTGACTAAATTCCCAATGTCTATGGGAAGAGGATGTACTATTCAGCATCAAAAGGCAAGATGAAAAATTCTGGGTGCACTTCAATTAAAATGTTAGTCTGGAGCCCTGCATTTCTGCTTTTCAGTACATGAGATTTACATGAAATAGTTTTTGCACTGTTCAATTACTCTCTTACATCGTTATCACAGCTGCATTTATTTCTGCAACAATGCAAACATTATATACTTGTACAACTACACTACTATGTAAATGTGTGCATTCTCAGGGAAATAAATTGCAAATTCCTGCACATTGGAAATATTTCTTTCATTTTTTTAATCGATTAGAATCCCTGGATTTTGCAGCACTTGCGGTTAATTTGACCTGTAACACTTCTTCGCCTTTTATTGTCTCAGAAATGTCTTTATCCTTCTTTAGAAATTCTCTACTACTACTGCGTTTATTGTAATGCACCACATCAAATAGGTAAAAGCGGACCTGACAATAAAACTGGTTCTGATTCTGATTCTTCACTTTAAAAGCTCAACTGGCAAAACTGAGAGGGTTTTTCATTTTAAAGTAGCCGCAATAAATGTCGAGCTTCTGATCACTAAAAAGGTATCTTTAAAACACTACAACTGTATTTGACAGCAGAATTGCACCAAAAGTTACATCAGAAGCGGTTCTGTTGCTTTTCTTTTTTTTTCTAACATCGAGGATTAGCCTTAGGTCTCAAGACAGGACTCACTTTGAGCAGGATAGGAACAGAATAAGTGACACTAAGCTGCTGGATAAAGAGCTTCAGGCCTTTCCTGATCATTAAAATCACAACTCCATTTGAGAGTGCTTTGCTCTGCAAAAACATTTTGGGCATGAGTTGCATTTTTTGTGAGTAGAGAAGCAGTGGTCAATATTAACTGTATACCAGCAATACTCACTATGAGGCCTTGGCATCTAAAAAGGCCTCACGTGCCCATGAAATTGAGTCAATAATTGAATTTACTTAAAGCCTCTGTAACATCTGGCTGTATGGGCATCCAAATTTTGTGCAAAAACGCATGTGCCACACAAGTCCATGTTGTAAAATTTCAAGTTCGCAGGCAGCTCGTAAGCACGTATGGAGGATTTTGGACATGTCTAAAAAAATCTGCGACTTCTCTGCAAACAACGACGTCACTTGCTCCCCCCGCAAGGAGTTTGCAAGTCAGATGTGCAATTTTTAAGGTACCATGGCAAGAAAATCCGTGGTCTAAGACACACGTCACAATGAGGGAGCAAGTGCCCTTTGCGTGTTAAGTCTGGTGCACACACTCACAACTAACGAACAAAATCGAACGCACGGCGGGCGTATGTCACCCCACGCTAGGAGTATAAAAGGCGTGCTCACGCCGCACGCTTGCATTTCGCCAGTGATCATCGAGTGTACAACATCTCCTTTCTGCTCTTTTCCTGCCATGTCCTCTCCTCTCTTTGTCCTCTGCATCATTGCCTGGAGATAACAAATAGAATTGAGTGTTATGCTAACTAACGTTATGTCTCAACAGTGGTGGTAAAATGATCAGCCTCAAAAAGACTAATCAAAAAACTCTAAAGAAAAAATAAAAATGAGGAAACAAAATTAGCAGCTGCTAAGTGTGATACCATAAGACTCAAATAGCTCTCCACATATTGCAAAATGTACACAATTTAAAAATAAATAACGAGCTGTAATGATGCAAGCAACATTGCATTAGTGCTTCAGACTAATTATGGATATACCATGTTATGATCAGCTTTGTATTGCTTTAAGTAAATCTACCGTTTCAAACAAGAGTTCATTTTAATGTTTAAAGCAGCGGCAATAACTGTCTACAAATCCATGTGAAAAGAAAAGAGACTAGAGTCACTTTTGCTCTGACTTCACTGTTTCTGAGCTGAGTGTTGTCTTGTTATCACTTAAGAGTCAGTTAACTTACTGACTGTCCAACCTGATACACAGAGACAAGCTGAGCAGACTGGCAGGAACTGGAGACACACACACACACACACACACACACACACACACACACACACACACACACACACACACACACAGCACAGCTGTTGGCTTTATTGCTGGGGCATACTGTTAATCTTTTTCAGAGGTAATCATTTGAGAATATGTATAAAATATATACATATGTGAAAATATGTGTTAGCAGCTAGTACGTGTCTCCGTTGGAGGAGCGGGTCGGCTCACTGGAGATGCTGCTGGCTGGTATCACGCTGGAAGTCAGTACTGGGGGTGACAGTGACACTGCAGGCGAGCTGTCACCTCCAAGTTGTCAGGATCTGTGTGTGTGCTACACAAAACATCACCATTTGTTACAAAGTTTTAACTCTTGTCCTGAAATTAATTTGTATCGTTCCGGATCTATTTCTTATCGCCTCGGGATGTGAGGATGTCCTTACGCTCAAACCCTGTCAGTATGTTAACAGAATTTACAAGACAGCATTTCACCTGATCGCTAAAGTGTCTCTGTTTTGTTTTTTGTTTATCTTTTGTTTTTTGAAAATCACGGCAAACTGATGTACGGCATCAGTACGTCATCATGAGCATGTGAGGCAAGTGTGACTTACTTTCCCCGCCTGTTCTACTCTCTTCGTAAGTGGTGAGTGTGTGCCTTGTACACAGGTGGCAAGACAAACTCAAGAAGTGAGCACAAATTCCAATTCCAGTTAGCGTCTCTGCTTGAAACAGATATCTCATGTCGCCCCTGTAACTTACAAGGCAGACTTGTGCCTTTCTTACGCCTTTCTGAAGGAGCCCTTGCAACCTTTCCTCTACCTCTGCGACCTCCACGACCTCAAAATTCACAGAGGACATACGCTCCCAAAAGTAGTGCGTCTGGTTGTGACCAAGGCTCAAGGTCTAAATTCTGCAGTTGCAGCTAAAACAACAGCCCTGCAATAAACCAGCTTTTTGAAGTCTATAGTACTACGTTCACTGATGCTGACATTGGACTCTGTGGTGATTTGTGAAGCAGTATTTTGCTATGTATTCCAATATGGTGCAGTGAAAGTTGTTTGCATGTGAGTTTGTGTCCACATCCTCATACCTGGAGCTCCAAAGTCCACCTCGAAAGTTATGACTGAATGACATGAGCTCAGCCTATATGGAGATAGGCTCTGTCCATCCACGAACATACAGAAAACAGTCAGCCGAACCGTGCAGTCCGCTGATTTACAATAGGGCTAATTTGACCAGGGTACACAGCAGCAGCTGCAAATTAAATCAGGTAGAGGGACACAACTGTGTTAAGGACAGCGGTGCACACACACTAATGAGATATGGAGCAAAGAATAACAAGAACAAAGAAAGATGGTCTCAGTGTCTCGCTCTTCCTTTCCTCTTTGTTTGCCTTTCAACCACTCAGAGAGAAGAGAAACTGCATTACCAAAATCCCTCAGGCAAAGATTAGCATCTCCAGCCTCTAATGCTGGAGAGGAGAGGGGTGGCTGGCTGCTTGGTGCACATGTAGGAAGTCACGGGAAGGATGGGGTTTGGATTTCTTCTGGAGATTACCTTTGTCTTCTCCAAGCACCATGGGAAAGTGATTTAGGGGCAACGCTAATTCATCAGAGAGTCCAGGTTTTTAATGTCAGCTCAGGGTGGGATCACACTCCTGAAGCCAGCGTTTAGCATGTTGCATATTTAGTAAATGGGAAAGTCATGAAGAAGCTCATGCAGATTGAGAATAGTTCGTCAATATATATACATTCTTGCTGCAATTGTATTTTTAAAGGTCCCATGTGGTGAAAATCCATTTTCACTGGGTGCAAAGTAGAAGCTGTTAAGATATGAAAACATTTAATTCTGCTATTTCTAACACGAGTTAGTCCCCCAGCTTTGAAGACCAGTAGAATTTGACCCAGGTGTTGCCTCATATCTAGCTAACCAATAGTAGTCCAGCTCAGACTCTGTATAACCCCGCCCCCTCACTGCTTCCACGTGAATTATTCAGAATGAACAGCTGCCTCCTAGTCCTCCAGGTTTATTTACTTTACAGAGCTGCTTCTGTTAACTCTAACGGCTGTTCTGCTGTTGGCTGCAAGAGTGAACCGAGAGTTTTCATGCACTCCCAGCCATTGAAGAACTGAAGATCCAGTGGACTACTTAGATTTTTTATTTTTATTTTTTTTATTTTAAAGAGTCCACAGCAATATCAAAAGCTTTAGTGTTAGCGTGTTGTTTGGCTAATGGAGCTAATGTCACCATTAGCTTTGATCATTTTCCCACAGATCAGAGCTCCGTCAAAGCTGTAATGCTGAGGGACATTCAGAGATGGTGGAAACTTTCATTGGAAACCGATAAACAAGGACTGGTTGGGTTACTGTTTTTTTCATTATACTTGTGCTTCATTTCAACCTAAACTCAGCTGCTGTTGACATCCGTTAGCTTCTCTCCTGCTCTCTGTGCTCACATTGACTGCATTTTAACATGACCTAGTTCCTATTAAAGTCTTTCTCATTTACATGTGTTACAGCCCTCAGTGACAAAGTGTGAAATAGCAACTAAAAATGCAGCCCATTAAGAGTACATGTTAACCAGCAGTTACCACTGACAAACTCAATAAACACAGGAGTTACAAACAGCAGCTGTTTGAAAGAAGCAATGTGGAGACATGAGAAACTTTCATTACTTAGGCTTAAAAGAGGCACAACATGGGACCTTCAATGATAAATACACATGTGCTTCCTGTGTGTTGGACAATGACGCAGGATTTTTTGTGATATCGTCTTGAAACTGTCAACATTTACTGCAAAAACCGGAAATGGACAAATCTGGAACATGCATGGATCCGTCACAAGTGGGCTTGCCGAGGCTTTCAGTTAAAAATGATCAGCCATTCAAAAAATGTAAGATGCTGGGACACTCACATTGACGTAATGCAGCAGGCTCTCCTGCTCGTTGACTTTGTAGGTCTGTATGCCGTACTCTTTGGCCAACCGGAGGATGCGGTTCTGTGTTGGTCCGATGTACGCTCCGCCCAGATCCACCCATTTTGTCTCCTTATTCTGGAAACAGACAAAAACAAAAATCAAGAAACAGTTAGCACATTTTGACATAAAAAGGTGAACATTTATGTTAGAATCTATTCTTATGCTTCTAGACTTCAGTGCAGCTTTTGGCTCTGGTGATGATCCAACCTAATGACGACTGCCAGGTCTGTGTTCCAAATACTACAAGTATTACAACTACCCTCAGAAGTATGGACTGTCTCATGCAGTATGTGTACATTTGAGAAAAAAACTGCTTTGTCATGATAAAACACCTTAAACTTTGACCTTTGCAGTCTGTAATGTTCATGTAAAACACTGTGACCTAAATGTGCAGAGGATTGTGGGTCAGATTGTTCAGAAAAACTTGTTTACATATTGCAAAATCCATTTGACTGCAGTAGAACATCCTGGTATTTTGGCAAAGTGCATTTGACGTACTCTATATTGGGACACAATAAGTGTATTTCTGGCATACTATATGTGTGGCACAGTGATGTGTGGTCAGGGAAAGAAATATATAATGATAAAATAATTTAAATGGTTATATTTATCCAGTGACTTGTACTATAAAATATTTATTTTTTCATTCAGCCTCACCACTTTTGATGACTTTTTAAATTCAAAATTGCTGAATTTTCGCAATTTCCCATTCAAAAGCTTGGAAGAGAAGCTGGTGAGGCAGCAGCGAGCTGAGCCTCACCTTGGATTGTACAATCCCTCACTAACTGCGCTGGCTGACTGCACCTCACTGGTGTGGCAGAACAGGTTTTGGAAAACACCCAAAGTTTAACTTAAAGTTTGCTGAATGTTTACTTACTTTCAAATTAACTTATGTCAAAGAAGTTGTAGGTGTGGCTCTTTTTTATTTCAACAAGAAGTCAAGTGTGAACTTTGCAAACAGCAGCTTATGTATCACTGCTCAACAGCATGAGAGTATGTTAATGAAACATGAAAATATGAGATCCGTACATTCTTGTCACATCATGTCACGTAAATATAATCATGGAAATAAGCTCTTATAAACATTGTTCTGTTCATCTGACACAGATCATAACATCCAGCAGCAGATGGTAACAAAACAACAGACACATGGTGTCTCGTTTAGTTAAATACCTGTTTCCTCAATTTGTCTCTTCTCGTGCATCCCTGGTGGTAAAAGTCTTCACAAAATTACAACTAAATTGAATTCTTTTCTGCCAGATTACGGTTGTATGTATCACAAATATGATTCTAATCTCTCTTTCTTTGCCATTTATTTTATTGCTTCACTCTCCCTCCTTCTCAGCCACCAAGATGCTGTTGTTACCAATGGTAACCCAGAAAATGGAGAGGAAGCTTCAAACATGTAGTGAAAATTTTAACCCAAACCAAGTTATTTTGGTGTGTAAGCTTAATCAAGCTTCGAATGGGTAAAAGTATCCAACAAACCGTGATATTTTCCTAAACTTTGCCATATAATTTTGGTGCCTAAACTGACTCTCTTAACCTGACTCGTGCAACGTCGGGTGAGAAAATAAGTTTATTTCTAAATGAAATTACTCAGAATGTCACCGAGAATGCAGTTTAGTTGTATAGAAATGTCACTTTGTTGAGACTTGGTTGCTGTTAGGAGGGATGACGATGAGAGGAGAAGGGTCGAGGATATAGATGAACTAAGAAGAGGAGGAAACCTGTGGGTGGCGTGATGGTGGTTTCGTCTCGATATACCGTCTATAGGTAATGTCCTGGTCTTACCCGCACAGTGAAGGTGCGACCGCCGACTCGATCTCTGGCCTCCAAGACAACAGGATTCAGCCCACTGGTTTTCAACAACTTTGCTGCACTCAAACCTGCAGACAGACACAGAAACAAACACACAGGTGAGTGATACAGCTTATATCCGCCATGTGGAATTTAATTCTCTTCAGTTTTTCACAGTAAAGGCACAGAGGTGTGGAAGAAAGTCAGGGTTTTCCTGCAGAGAGGTATTTTTGGCACCTCCCAAAGAGATGTCAGTCAAAAGGAAAAAGCAAGAAAATCAAGAAAATTTTAAAAAAAAAAGACTAAGGCTCATTTACTGCACACAGACCAAACACACTGAGAGTCAAAGGCCTGTTTAGAGCCAACAAACACCTGGGAGGTCTGTCAGACTCTATGACAGGACGGTGTTGTGCCACACCTTCCTTCAAAGAAGCTCTTCATCATGTCTTTGTGACGTTTTTGCTGCAAGATTACGTAACTTTCAGACAGAATACAGGGACGGAGGGGATTATTTGGAAAATCTAAATAAAAAGATGACGATTAACACAGTTTTGATTATAGCAGCAAATCTGGTGTCTCCTCTGCTAGTCAGCACACTGTTGTATGCCTGCCTGTTGGTTTGAATAACTTTCCCTTTCATGCTTTAACATCATTTTAACCCCGTTAACCACAACACGGACCGGTAGGTTTAAATTGCATGTTTTGTTTTCTTTTTAAAACAATCTACAAAATGCATCATTTATCAGAGCCAGACGCTGTACAGACACAAAAAAATGTCACATATTCAACTTTCAATGATCCCTGCACCATTCTATCAGATAAAGAGACCAAATGTAAGCCTGAATTGGGACAATTTATCAAAATCACTTTATTCTACATGCCCTATTTAAATATTTAGAATATTCTGCTTTTCCATGTGTGGTTCTGTCGGTAAACAGCTCAGTGATCAGGGGGTTAAATGACATTTGCTTTTCAAATGACTTAAAGTGAACCATGGGAAAGATGGGAGAGGAAGAAACAGTGAATCACAAACTGGCTGACCTGCTCAGGGTCATGTGATCGAGTGACCGACTGCAGATTGTAGAGCAGAAAAACAGCTTTTCACACACTGACCTCAAGGCAAACCCTGTCAGAGCTGTGATTCAATCAGACATAACAGAAATGAACTTAGGCACACACACATATGCGTTTATATAGGGGATTAGCATGCAGCGTATGGCTCAGCAGTGTGTAGGTCATAAACATAGCAGTCACATTTACACAGGAAAGGGATTTATATAAGGTACTGCTACAAGCCTATAAGGCCCTACATGACCAAAAGTATGTGGACACTTAACCTTCACACCCTTATGAGCTTTCTGAACAAACCCACAGGTGTTAAAATGCTACTATTCCAGCTTCTAGTCTACTGGTTTTGAGTTTTCTGCAAG